ACATCTTCCGTCGATAACATTGAAGTATGCATAGTGAATGTGCTAATTTTAAATTCAATGCAGAAGGTAATAATAGCCGACGAGCAGCAGGACCACCGTAGTAAAAGTGAGATTTTTTTCAGGACCGGTCTAACGTTTAATTCCATTCGGATGGGAGACGCGGGGCGGTCGCTTCCATCCAAGGTGGTACCGTTCGCTTTCACGAAAATTCATTCCACACGATGCTTGCTTATTTTCATTAGTACCGTTACGTGTTACGTCAAAATGTGAGTCGCGGTCCAAACTAAAATATACAAATCTATAATTAATTCCCATGAAAATCCTCGGTGGAAAACCAAGACATTACCAAGACAGACATTACCAATAATTTCCTTTGGCGAACTCGACGGCAACGTGTAACGACAAATTCACGTTTTCCTCCGAAATTGTTTTCAAACGCCTCGTGTTCCATCCTCGTAGCTTGACCTATAGTCCCGAAGGTGTTCTACAGCGGTTCTTATGAAAATGGCAAAACATTCAACTGATAATTCCAACAACGAAATATTGTAATTTTCAAAACGAATAAATATGAATGAATTATCATTGTTTTGTACGCGGATCGTGTCAAATGATTTTTATTCCTCGTTACGACGCCGTGAGTCAAATTCTAAACAATACATATATCCCTAAGAATGTTGGGATTATAGAAGCGGTTCATGTAAAATTCATATCGAAAATTTCGACCAAACCTTTTTGACGTACTCTCCGCATAATAGTACCGCAAATACGATCAAACGAATTTGTTATCCCCTCCAAACGATCCAGCAGTTGGTTGAATAAGTGGCGGCAGCTCGGAGAGCAGCATTTGCGCGTGGAACGTTAGTTTGTAAATTCACGTCTTTAGAAGACTGATTTAGTCGGGCAAGTCTGACGAGTGAGAAACGAAGGACAGACGAGCTTCAAAGCACGCAATAGGAAACGATTCGGTGACCGTAATTTTCACCTGTCGAGTTTCACTTCTAACCTGAATTCATCGGTGTGCTTGCTTCTAGTAGTAGACTGCCCGCTGCCCTCGAAGCACACATTTTCTTGGCCGAAAGGTACGAACCCAAAGAAAGGAGAATTGCTCGTGGCCAATATATTCGAAGGTACCCCGGCTAATTTCTCTGTTACCATCATCATTATCAATTGCCAGTGAGGGGCATTACATAAACGCAACAAAAAGTTCGGACGTCATTTCTCAATCAACCGGTGCTACGTGTATACATCGAAAACACGTTCGCAGTGTGTTGTCATGAATAGAGGTTTTTAGTAATCGCAAGAGGAAAACGTTTTTCGAAATATTCTGTATCGGTTGCGAATAGAAAATCAAGGAAAAGCAAACATCATGTGGCCGAGAAACGTTGGGATCAAGGCGATGGAAATATACTTTCCTGCCCAGTATGTTGACCAAACAGAGTTGGAAGCATTTGACGGAGTGGCTGCTGGAAAGTACACCATTGGATTAGGCCAGTCTAGGATGGGTTTTTGCAATGACCGTGAAGATGTTAATTCGCTGTGTTTGACAGTGCTGCACCGACTAATGGATAGGTATGACATAAAACCAAAGGATGTCGGCAGATTAGAAGTTGGAACAGAAACGATATTAGACAAGAGCAAGTCAATAAAATCTATCCTTATGCAGTTGTTCCAACCATTTGGTAATGGAGACATAGAAGGAGTGGATTCTACCAATGCTTGTTACGGAGGTACTGCTGCCCTGTTGAATACTGTGTCTTGGGTAGAAAGCAGTGCATGGGATGGCAGATTAGCTCTAGTTGTCGCGGCTGACAATGCTGTGTATGCTCCTGGAGCAGCTAGACCTACTGGAGGTGCTGGAGCTGTTGCTATGGTGGTTGGTCCAGATGCACCTTTAGTAATTGATCGTGGAATACGATCATCATACATGGAACACGCATACGATTTTTATAAGCCAGATTTAAAATCTGAATATCCTATCGTGGATGGACAATTATCAATTAAATGTTACCTTAGTGCTGTGGATAATTGTTATCAGACTTATCGTGAAAAGGTCAAGAATAAGCATAAAGAAAATATAAGTTTAGATAGCTTTGATGCATTCTTGTTTCATTCTCCATATGGTAAATTAGTACAAAAGTCATTTGCTAGAATAGCTTTTAATGATTTCCTAAATATGCCTAAAGATAAAGTAGCTGAGCAACATCCAGATTTAGTAAAGTTTCACAGCAAAAAGCTTGAAGATACTTATTTTGACAGAGATGTTGAAAAAGCATTTGTAACGTTAAGTAAGTCAGCATTTAATCAAAAAACCCAACCTACATTGCTTATATCGAATCAAGTAGGAAACATGTACACTCCTTCTGTATACACTGGATTGGCGTCTTTACTTATTACTAGGCCGATAAATGAATTAGCAGGTTGTAAAGTAGGATTGTTTTCCTATGGGTCAGGTCTTTGTTCTACTATGTATTCAATAACAATAGCAAAAGATTCTGCTGGAAAGTCTAAATTGTTGGAAATGATCACAGCCTTATCATATATAAAAAATCAGCTGAATGCTCGTCAGAAAGTTTCTCCTGCAGATTATACAAAAATTTTGGAATGGAGAGAAAAGAATTGTCATACTGTACCATTCAGTCCTATTAGTAGTATCGATAATATGTTCCCAGGAACATATTATCTTGTTGAAGTGGATGAAAAATATAGAAGGACTTACAAGAGGGTATGAAACTTTCGATAGTCCTGAATATTTAGCTAACTGTTAGATAATTTAATTAACGTGGTAACAAAGGAATAATTGGGGGCCTCAAACATTATTGATCACAAATTTTAAATGGTGCATAACTTTGTTTATTTATGAAATCTGAAACTGGTTACTGTTAAATCAATATTTCCTTAGCATCAAGATGGTACTACAAACCTGTACTAATACGCATTAAGTTAATATATATATATAATATATATATTATATATATACGTTTAATTTTTTAATTATTTTATAGATAAAAAGTTACTAAATCAAATTATTTTTAATATACATGTAAAGAAGATACAATTATACAAAGAAATGTAAAAAGTACAGAAAGTATAAATGTTATTCTTACAAC